TTCTACTAGAACCAAATATGGAAATAAACTTTGTAGTTTGTTTAATGTTTATAAAGGCTTATTCAGGGGAAATGCCTTAGAAATAAGTTAATTCCTAGGATGAGAAAAGATGAGTCTAGCATTCTGTTTATCAGCACACACTTGTGAGGATCTACAAATTACCAAGATGATGGGAAGATGGGTTAGCATTTTCATTACATATATAGACAGCTATGTTTTAAACCTGTGCTGTCCAATATACCAAACGTTAAGAGCCACATGTAAGTTAACAATTCAGTTCCTCAGTCGCCTTGGTCACATTTCAAGTGCTCAAGAGCCATATACAGCTAGTGGCTGCCACAGTAGACAACACAGAAACATGTCCATCACAGCAGAAAGTCTGACTGGATGATGATACTCTAAACCATGGTAAAATGCAAATTCTTAAATATTTTTCAAAATGGCCATACAAGTTCAAATAGAAATTTTTTGGTTGGCTCTTTGTCAGGAAGGGAAAGTATATATTTACAAATGAGAAAAAATAATTAAATACAAATAGCAATGAAGGGTTTAAGCATATAAATCAATTTATATGGCTTAATTTGAAGTTATATCATATTAAATCTAAAAAGATTTAAGATAATTTCATCCTTCATCCTTATTTCAGAGGAAACTGAATCTAGAGAATAGTACAAGAAAAAATAACTCTCTAATTTAAGATATTAAATATATACAAATAAAGTCACTATTGAAAACCAAAAATTTTCTGCAACTGACAATAAACTGAAACAAAATAAAGTCTAAGCTATTCTGTGTGTCTGAGAATTAGCCTTTCCATTGGATACACATAGGCTGTTTGCACAGTGGTTAGGATTTTGGGTTTGGGGTTAGGGGTTAGGCTGCCTAGGTTCAAATGTTGCTCCTTGACTTCCTCGCTATACAACCTTAGGCAAGTCATTTAATGTCTCTGAGCCTCTATTTCCTCATATATAAAATGGAAAAATAACTAAACTACTTCATAGGCTTGGAAAGATTAAGTGAAATTATGCATGCAAAGTATGCAGAGAACTTAGCTCACAGTAAGCCCTCCAACAATGCTAGTTGTTATGAAACTTGTGTTTTGGTTAAACCTAGTCTACAGGAGACATTCTTTGATTAATTTCCATTCACCTTCAAGTTCCTAAGACAGATGCTTTGGAAAACACTCAAAAATCAATATGTAAACGGTAGGTTACATGGTGGCTCTACCACTTGCAGTCATAGGAGAATCTGCCTCCAAATCTCTATCAACATTTCACATTGGTGTCAACACCTTTGCCATGAGATTGTAATTAATAGAAAGCCCCACAAGCAACCTGTAGGGTCTAATGGTCTTAAAAAATGAAATAAACAAAAAAAACTTCCCCATGTTAAAATAGTGGCATCTGTTTTTTTTTATGTTGGTGACTGTGGTAAAGTAAGAAGTGGGAGACTGGATAAGTAAAACCATTTTGAATGACAAGAGTTTAAAACTTCTCGTGTTTTTAAATTTATACTTCTGTGTATTAGCAGAAGTTTAAATAACTACATTCAAATTTTGAAATATATTTTTGAGGGTAATTTTTTTTAAATAAACAATTAGGTATGTAATGGTAAAAGATTTTCTTTCAATAAGTTTTAAGATATATCAATACAATTTCTTAGTTCATGACAGTAGAACAACATGTACCCAACTTAATGTTATCTCCAGCAAGTGTGGAGATGAGAATGGCATCTCCAAGTCCTACCCTGGAAAATGTTTTATTCCCCAAGTTGAGACTTCTTTTTATTTAAAAAATTTTATTTTAAGTTTATTCATTTTTGAGAGACAGAGTGCAAAGTGGGGGAGAGGTAGAGAGAGAGAGAGAGAGACAGAATCTGAAGCAGGCTCCAGGCTCTGAGCTGTCAGCACAGAGCCCAATGCGAGGCTCAAACTCATAAACTGTAAGATCATGACCTGACCCAAAGTTGTACAAATAACTGACTGAGCCACCCAGGGGCGCCCTCTAGGAATAAAGAGATTTCAATAGAACAGAAGCACCGAATGGTCAAAGCTTCATTACTCTGCAATGTTTTTATAATGAAGCTCCAGAGTCATCCCCATAAGGCATGGTCCTAACCAAACCCCAAATAATAATCAACCTAATACATTTTAATCATCATTTCAAATCCAACATTTTCTTATTGGTCGTTTTCAGAGTTCTAACTTTACTTTCTATGTTATCATTTATCATAATTTACTTTTCAGTTAACTTGTAGAAGTACATTTTCTTTCTCACATTATATAGCAAATTTCTTGAGCTTTTACTTACCAAGACTCCAAATGGAACGAATATACTTGATAGACATTTTGAAAATATATGTATTAACTGATTATTTAGTGATGCAGAATGGAATCAGAGCACCAGATTCTATTCCTTACTCTGATATCAGTTAATAATATGATCTCAACTTCAGCTTCTTCAGAGGTCAGGCTCTTTCACGTTGAAATAGAATGATTATACGGGCTCTCTCACTGATATTTCTGAAAGTTTATGCTCTTACCATCAGATAAAGTTTAAATAACTACATTCAAGTTTTGAAAGGTATATACTGTCAAGAATAATTTTAAAAAATAAACAGAAGAGAAGTGCTTGGGTGGCTCAACTGGTTAAGCCTCCAACTTCGGCTGAGGTAATGATCTCATGGTTTGTGAGTTAGAGCCCCACATAGGGGTCTGCACTGTCTGTGCGGAACCTGCTTGGGATTCTCTGTCTCTGTCTCTCTCTCAGCCCCTACCCTACTTGCACGCTATCTCTCTCTCAAAATAAATAAATAAAATTAAAAAAAAATAAACAGAAGTTAGGTCTGTAATGGTAAAAGCTTTCTTTAAGGTTTAAAAATTTTTTTAATATAATTTATTGTCAAACTGATTTCCATAGAACACCCAGTGCTCATCCCAACAAGTGCCCTCCTCAATGACCATCACCCACTTTCCCCTCTCCCCCTCTTTCTTTAAATTTTAAGAGATATCAATAAACTTTTTTATTAACTATAGAACAGCAGCAATACACACCTGATAACATTGCTCCAAATGAAATTACAAAGTGAACAACACGTGACATTTCAATAATTGTCCCTATAAGACATCATTTGCTATTTTCTTTTATTACTTCACAAAATTTATTCAAACTACTATAATGACCTTCAGTTTCCATAAATAAACTTACATAAAAAGCTGGCTAACATACTTACTAAATAGACTGTCACTAATAGTTAATGCTCAGGAAAGAATCTATCTGTAAGGATAATTTAAATATATTCAGATAAATATTTAAAGTTTCATTCTGTTTTCTGTAAATATCCTGAGATTATCCCAAGTTATGAGGTTCAAGCTGTCTAAGGGAGAATTAGTTTGGTAACTTAATAATGGAAATATACAGATTAGAGAAGACTCTACTATCATTATTAAAAATATAAACACTGTACAGGCCGGTATTTGCTAATGAAAATCACTGATATGATTCCATTATCAACCATACTCTTCTGTACACAATTAGCATGTTTTATCTTTAACTTAAAAGGAAAAATGATAACTCATCAGACACAAATAATCCTTCACACTTTCCACATTCTTATACTTTCTGTATAGTTACTACTTTTTTGTAGTTGAAAAAGAAGATAACAAAGTTCTACCTCTACAATGGCTTTTAAAAATCTCCCTATTACTGAAGTATAGTCATTGATAAATTGTATGAAAGTTAGTATCTCAAACTTTTCTGAGGCTCCTGAAAGTTAACACCAAAACCTTACTGGTGAAACATAAACCATATAATCTGATCTTATTATTCACATTAAACAAAGGAATGACTAAATCTTTCCAAATTGATTCTGCTTTGTTGATACAGGGGGGAAAAAAAGAAGCTATTTCCTTCATGCCAAATTACAAAATTAACCTAAAACATGTTACAAACATAGAAACATTAAAAGTCACTATTTACACAAGCTGAAATTAATTATCTGGCATTCCCTCAAGTGCCAAGATGTCATTTACTCCTGGTGATAAAACAAATGCCATTTGTTATCTGATCATTCTGAATTATAAAACCTGAGAGAAGCCTGACAAAGACACACCAATTTTTCTTTCACAGCTATCCTGATTTTATTTATTTATTTATTATTTATTTATTTATTTATTTAACTATAAAGAAATTCCATGTGCATGATTTTTTATTATTTGGTGTAAAGTGCAGAGTGCCTGCACTTTGAGCTCTCAGAAGAAATTCACCGTATTCTGTAAGCACTTCAACTCCAAGTGACCTTTAAGTTTATACACACCGTAGGAGATTCTTGAATATCTCAAGAAAAAGGCAAACCTGCCTTGCTGTTTTCAAGGAAAAAGTTGCACTTTAGTCTTGTAACTCCCGTTCCTAATCTGAAGAGACGGAGGGTCTCTAAAACACAGTTGCTTGCTCAGAATTAACCTTACCTGTGAGAGCCGAGGCTAGTAGCCCCTTACCTTGTGATAAGGTTGGGCTGGCCCCCCAGTGATGGAGGGAAAAGAGCCAACTCTGCCCACAGCACTACCTGTGGCTCCCAAAGAGGTGGTCGTGGGTAGGGGAAGAGAGGGCTGGGATGCTTCTATAGAGTTCTTATCCGGACCATATTTGGGGAATTGTTCTAGGGAGTGCGTTCCCCTCGCTCTAGAGAGAAAGGGAATTTCGGGGACCACTCTTCTCCCTCGATCTCTCCATCCGGCCCTTCGCGCTGGGCCCTCACGCTGGAGCTGGGGTGGGGGGGCGGGGATGGAGGAGGAAGGCAGCTGGTCCCTAGGGCCCCCTCCAGCAGCTCCCGGCGGCCGCTGCGAGGCCTGGACCATGCCCGCGGCCTCGGGGCTCCGACCCGGAGGGGCGATCGGTGCCCCGCGCCGGCCCGCCCGGCGGTACCCAGACCTGGCCCTTGACTCACCGCTCTCCACCTCGCTGCCTTTCTTGGCGGTCGCTGCGTTCCCCATGACTGGGACGATGGAAAGAAGGGGTCAGGGAGGGGAGGGGGGCCGGGGCCGTCCCCGCCGCTCCACAGGCTCAGGCAAGTCCCGCTCCTGCACCGGTCAAAGCGGTGGGTGCTCCTGGCGCTGGCGCCCCGGGTCCGGACGAGAAGACTGGGCCGGTTCCGAGCGCAGGGCTTCAGCTAACTCCTCAGCCCCGGGGGCAACAGCTGTAGCAGCGGCGGCTGCGGGCAGACACTCCCCTTTCCCCCGCCCCGCCCCCCTCGCTCGCCCCCCTCGCCGGCCCAGGTCCTTCTCCGCGGGCGGCCGCGCGCGCCGGAAGTGACGTGTCGCCCGGGACGAGGGCGGTGGGGTGAGGGGGCCTGACTTGGGGGCGGCTGTGCGGGCTAACCCTGACAGGCAGGTCCGCGGCTCGCCGAACTGCGTGTTGTCGCTCGGGATTGGGTCGGATGCCCATCCCCGAGATACCGGAGGCGGCGTGGGAACCGTTAGCTTCGAGGAACCCGTCGTCTCGCAGCCCTGGAGCTGGGCCTCGGGAGGCCGCAAGGGGGCTCGGGTTGCTTTCTTTGTGCCCCGCAATCCCGCGGCTCCTCCCTCGAAGGTTGCCTTCTTCCCCCAGGGCCGGGAGAACCGCACGTGCGTGCAGGGGATCCGAAGCGAGGGGAACCCCCTAGTTCTAGCCTCTGGAGGGTACGGACTGGTCAGCATCAGCCGCGGAAAGAACCTGGTCCTAATGTCGACCGTGGCTCGGAGCCTGCCTGTAACCCGAAGATTAAGGTATTCGCTGAGCCCACCAGGCTGCCCTCCCGGTTGTCAGGCATCAGTCGCAAGCCCCATGGTGTTTCCAGTGGGATATTCATTCGCCATGATTTTGTGGGGTCACTCCAAAGATTTTATCAGACGACCCAGGTGACGATAAGGAAAATATTATTTCTGCAAAGTGTCTCTTGATGTGAAACACTGGATTGAGCAGCTTTCTGTGTTGATGTCAAAATAAATGCATTCACAATTGTAATTGCGTTTTATTAATATACATTATAGAGCACTTGATTTTTCCAGATAGCTTCATTTACGGGTGAATTTGTATGGCATTTGTATGGCACTGTAATATTTTTTATTGCATGTTCCTTTTAACTTTGTGAGCATTTGTGCCAAACTTAATGCAGAAAGACTTTTCTCGAGGGTGAGACCACATAAACTTATTTGGTGTCCTCAAGACACCTGGCACAGTAGAGTATAATGGATACCAGCTGACTTTAAAGTAAGCCAAGGGAAATTTTCGGAAGTTTAAAAAAAAAACATTTTTCATTACTGACAAAAAAGGTGTGCTAAGAATGTCCTCCATAAACTCTTAGTAGCTATTTCTTATTACCAATTCCATTAAGTTAATTTCACAAACATATGTACTGTATTCCGAGTACTGTACAAATAGGAACTCGTTGATCCTCAAAACCCTGGGAGATAAGGTACTTTACTGTCATTATTTAAGGTGCAAATTGAGAGCCAGAGAAGTTAAGCAACTTACCCTATGTAACACAGCTATCATCTAGTGGAAGCAGGATTTGAACGAATGTAGATAGGCTCCAAAGTCACCATTTGTCTATAACATTGATCAAAAACTGAATGTTGTGGTAACTTGCTTTCTCACCGTTTGAAATCCATTGACTTAAGCTACAAGAGGTATAGTTTACTTTTTAGGGAATTTCATTATAGTATAGTCCCCCCACCTTATCCACAGTTTTACTTTCCGTGGTTTCAGTTACCCATGGTCAGGAAGCAGATGATTCTCCTGAAGTATCAGCAGAAGGTCAATAGTAGCCTAATCAAGTCATAGTATATACGTCATTCACCTTATTTCATCTCATCATGAAGGCATTTTATCATCTTCCATCATCACAAGGAGGGTGAGTACAGAACAAAAAGATCATAGAAAGACCACATTCATATAACTTTATTACAATACATTGTTATAATTATTTTATTAGTAGTTCTTGTCAGTCTCTTACTGTACCTATGTATGCAGAGGAAATCTTTGTACCTACGGGGTTTGGTACTATCCATGGTTTTAGGCATCTACTGGGATTCTTGGAACTTAACCTCCATGGATAAGTAGAGAGGGACTACTGTATTGTTTTAAGAGTCCCCATTAAATCCAAGTACTATAAAAATAACAGAGAAAAGAGGGCTTGGACTAGATGTGAGGTTTTGTGTCAGCATGTAACAATGTTGCAACAATGTCATATCTTTCCAATCACATTTAGTTTTGTGATGTGGATGTGACATTTGCTTTACATACATGAAAAATTCAATAAATAGTAATAAGCCACATACAGACCAAATTAAAGACAACTTTTTGGTATACTTTATTTTGGAGGGAATCTTCCTAGAATCCTGGAGTATTCATACTGTCCTCATTGGGGTGAGTTTTAAAATGTGTGCCTTTTTAGAGACTAGCTTTAATAATAAAAGAGTAGTTGTACACATAATTTGTTCCATCCTTTAACATGATTTTGAGTACTAGGCCTTTAATAAGAGGGCAGCCATCTGTTTAGCAAATCATAAATTTTCAAAGGAGACAGTTGACAACTCTGTTACAGAGTTAGATACATCATAACTATATTCTGGAAAATTAATAAGCAAAATATTCAGCTTTACAAAATTTCTTCCTTCTGAAATTTAACTTTATCACTGGTTAAGAAAAGAAGTAAATTATTAATAAAGAAAAAAGTGATCAATAATTAGAAATACCTTATTATTTTTCTTTTTTTCCTTTTACTATTATTTGTTTCTTATATTAGCTTGTGTTTTTCTGATTCAAGGAAGATTATACTTTAGGAGTTTAGTTTCATAGTTTTCAATTAGTCAATATTCACAATCATTTAATTACAATTAAATACAAATTGGTTTTTCATTCTTAGAGAAGGGTTCTTTATAGGAGACCATCAATTATGTAACATAGAAAACTACGTTTCAAGACATTTTTTTATATTCCAGATGTGGCAGAAATTTCATTAACTGTTGAGTTATTCTTGAAATATTAGCATTAACTAACATGAGGCAATTTCTATCCTTTGTCACTGATGACTTTCCTATAACCTAGACAAGTACAAAGGTAGAGCTAGATGTTATTTCCTTAGGAAATCAGACACCACAAGAAGGGAGTCCTACAGAGAAAAGACTTTAAATCTTTTTCTTACAATATTTTTAAAAAAATTTTTTTAATTTATTTATTTTTAGGAGAGAGAGAGAGAGAGACAGCGTGAGCAGGGGAGGGTCAGAGACAGAGGGAGTGACAGACTCTGAAACAGGCTCCAGGCTCTGAGCTGGCAGTCAGCACAGAGCCCGACGCGGGGCTCGAACCCACAAACCGCGAGATCATGACCCAAGCGAAAGTCAGACGCTTAACCGACTAAGCCACCCAGGCGCCCCTTTCTTACAATATTTTATCTAAGAGCCTGAAGCACTATGTAGTAAGGAAAATTGTATTTTGCTTTGGAAATGATTCTACATTTTCTAGTACTTTATAAAAACATTTCACCTGCCATTTTTTAAAATCTGATTGGGGCGCCTGGGTGGCTCAGTTGGTTAAGCAGTTTAGCGTCCTACTTCGGCTCAGGTCATGATCTCGTGGATTGTGGGTATGAGCCCAGCTGTTAGCTCAGAGCCTGGAGTCTGCTTCAGGTTCTGTGTCTCCCTCTCTTTCTGCCCCTCCCACGCTCACTCTCTGTCTCTCTTTCTCAAAATAAAAGACATAAAAAAAATTATTTTAATCTGATCCTCACAACACACCTGTATAAACTAGAAAGATTAGATTAGCCCCATTCTACAAATGAGTAAAACGAAGGTTCAACGAAGAAAAGTAACTTGGCCAAGATCATGCATATGGTAAGTGGCAGAGCACAAGATTTTATGCCATTTTGTGTAAGACAAATGTAATCTCGGCCCTCATTAAGATTAGGTTTTATTACCCGCCCCCCCCATTTTACAAATGAGAAAAATAATGCCTAGGACCTAAGAACCTTGGCCCTTTTCTTCCTAGAGTTATCTCATCATTTAAGAGTGGGAAAGTGCGTAAAAATTAGTAAATTATTATTGCTATTTATTTCATGGTTTTTATTATCATCAACTTGATTTCCAAGACTTTTTAAAACAAAACACCCTCAAAAGTAATGTATCTCAGAAATACTTGTTTTTCCTTTACAATCACCAGGACAGATAAGCTGAAGTTGATAATTGTTGGAGTATATGGCCAAGTCATTTATTTTTATGTTGTATTTTACATAAAATAAGTGCAAGTAAAAATGTATTTAACCGTCATGAGATTATGATTATTTTGAATGATAACTAGTAGTCCACATAGTCTGATATTTCATTGTTATACAATATTGTATTTCCTAAACCAAATGATACTATGTTAAATATCAAGCCAAGGGCAGAATAATAGTTTGGAAATAAGGAAGTAATTTTACAGTTAATAAGTTACAAATATGATAATTGTTCAAAGCATTGTAGTACAGTACAAAGTTTTCTTCTTGGGCATAATTCTAACCCCTTTGTTTGATAACATATTTATTATCTGAAGTTCAGTATTCATCTTTTTGGGTATTTCTTGACAGATGAAGAGACTAAAATAGTTAACTGTGGTTAAGAAACCTGCTCAAAGTTAACAAAAATGGGTTAGTAACAGTAGAATAGTAACTCACCTCTGGTGTAAAAGCTAGAATACAAACTGAAAGTGATTTAAGAAAAAAAAAAAGAAAACATGGAAGAGAGAATAATACCAACAATTTTTTTCTCTTCATATTTAATACATTCCCTCAGAAAAGATATGTTTTTGGATATCAGGTTTTACTAGTGTGTTTTATCAAAACTATGGCTAAATTTCCACTATTTCAGTTTTGTGCTATGCATTTTTTTTTTTTTACATACCTGTAGACCAAAAATAACACCCACATCTACAAAACATTTGTTTCTTTATGAAATCATGGAACAGATGGGGCAAGAGCTTTCATGAAATCTCTAAATTAAAACTATATTCATAGTACTGACAGTAACAAACCAGAGTGGTGGGTCATGAGGTAGAAAAGGTTTGAGTTCTGTATTCAGAAAAATCTGGATACATGTTCTGTTATGGCCAACATCTATGACCTTCACATATATTATTTAATTTCCCTTGTTCTTTGTTTCCCAAAGTATGAAGTTACATGGATTAAATTAAATCATCTGTGAAAAGTACTTGGGACAACTTTTGTCATATAATAATAACTGTAACCGTGCGCCCACCTTGCAGAAACATTCAGTGTTTTCTTGTATTTATATTTCTATAGTAATCATTCAGAGAGTTCCTACTGTATACGAAGCATAATAGGGATACAAAGATCAATAAAATCTGTTCTCTTCCCTCACGTTTCTCTGTAAGGCAAGATGGACATGTAAGTAATTAAGTAAAATAAGACAAGTTTATTTTGTACTATAGTATAAATATAAACAAATCACTGAGGAAATGTAAAAGAAGTGCCGCTAAATCATCACCTACATGGAGAATTTAGCATTGGATCTTGCTGTTAAACAGGAGGGGGGGTGGAGATTACTAAGAACTAAGAACAGCATTAACAGAGTCTTGCATGACAATTATCCCTAGATCACACCAGATCAGATGTTATAAAAGGATGTTGTGAGAGTTGCCACCTTCCCACTGAAATGTAAGCTGTTTTGTCATCACTGTGTCTACACTATCCAGAATGATGTCAGGCACATAGTAGGTATGCAATAAATATTTATTTAATGAGTGAATGAATGAATGGCAATTTCATAGTAGATAGTGCTAGTTTTGGGGGAAGCCTTACATGCCATTTAAGAAAGTGGGCTTTGTTCACCATGCAATAGAGAACCGTTGAAGATACTTAAGGAAAAGAGTAATATAATCTCACATTTTATTAATAAGGTAACTTTGATAGTGTGATGGTTATATAGGATGAACAAAAGATTGGCAGCAAACAGACCTGTAAGGTAGCTGTTGAAATAGAAGAATAATGTGAAGTCTTTGAGTAGTGTAGCAGCAGTGGGATAGAAGAAAGGATACAGGTGAAGACATTTGAATGTAAAATCAGTGGGATTTAGTAACTGTTAAGGCTCTTTAGTATAATATAGCAAGTGATACAAGCCCAATTCAAAGTAGCTTATGAAAAAATGAGTAGAATTTTTGAGTCAAAGAACTGGAGAGTTTAGATTATCCATGGCTTTAGGCTTAGATAGATCCAAGAGTTCAGGGTATGTATCTCTGCTACCTGTCCTAATTCTGCTTATATATATTGATTGTATTTTGCCAAACAGGCTCTCTCCATGTGACAGATTTATTTACTTCCAGCTTAGCAACCTAAAGAACAATGCCTTCTCTTTCCCAATATCTGTACATTATAAATTTATATTATGGGGTGCCTGGGTGGCTTAGTTAGGCGTCAAACTCTTGGTTTTGACTCAGGTCATGATCTCTTGGTTCATGGGTTTGAGCCCCACATCAAGCTCTGTGCTATCAGTGTGGAGCCTACTTGGGATTCTCTCCACTCCCTTTCTCTCTGCCCCTCACCTCTTTCTTTCTTTCTCTCTCAAAAATAAACAAACATTAAAGTAAATAATTATTACGTTCTATTATATGTAATTATAATAAACATTATATTCTAAATATTATAAATAATTATACATATTGGTTCTGTATAATTCACATGACTATTCCTGTGGAGAGAGGAGGCAAGGTACCATGACTGATATGGAATGAGAGAAGTGCGGTTTTCTAGAAGACACTGTCAAATAGGGTAGACGAAAGCAATAGATACTCCATACAGTG